GTGTTGTCAGCACCACGCTCACCCAGTGAGCTAACCGGCCATCCCTATGTGGGATCCGAACCCTTGGCCTTGGTGTTATCAGCCCTGCACTCTCCCGAGTGAGCCACAGGGCCGGCCCAGTTTGGCAGTTTCTCAAACAGTTAATCCTAAAACTACCATATGATGTAGCAATTCCACTCCTAGGTATCTGCCCGGGATAAATGAAAACACGGGCTAGACAAAAACTTCCATGTGAATATTAATTATAGAAGTATTAATTAATTATATTATAGAAGTATTCCTTATAAATGTCTAAAAGTCCATTAAGTGATGAACAGATAGACAAACTGGATGTATCCCTACAATGAAATATTACTCAGCCATAAAAAGGAATGAAGCACTGACACAAACTACAACACGAATGAACCTCAAAATACATAATGCTGAGTGTAAGAAGCCATGTTGCATGACTCCACGGCTAGTTTTTAGAGACAGAAAGTAGATTAGTGATTGCCTGGGGCTGGGAGTGGAAACAGAAATTAATTGTAAATGTGCATGAAGGATGTTATTAGGGGGATAAAAATGTTCTAAAACTCATTTACGGTGATGATTGCACCACTTGATAAAGTTACTAAAAATAGTTGAATTCTACACTTGGATGGATTTTATGAAATAAAACATACTTCAATAAAGCCGTTAAAAATGGGGGAGGGGTGGCACTGCTTTGGCTAGAATAAGGGTGTTAAGAAGGTGGGTGTAGCTGTTTCCTGACATGCTTCCAACGCAGAGTCCTGGGATAACTTCAGGAAGCCCAGTGTGCCAGGGAGTGCAGGGGCTCCCCCTTCCGGGAAGAAGGGGGAAGAGAGAGCGATTGCTCAGTGGTCTCAAGCCCCCCCATCCCTGGGTGCTGCCTCTTTGCAATGTGACTTTGACCTTCTTGCCATCCAGAGGTGAAGACTCATTCTTCATCACCTTGAATCTGGGCTGGCCATGTGACTTGCTTTGGTCAATGAGTGCTGCAGAAGTGACGTTGTGCCAGTTCCAAGCCCGGCTTTCCAGCAACCTGGCGGCGCTCCTTTGCCCTCTTGGAGCTCTTCTCTGAGAACACTCTGAGGAAGCCGGTCCAGCCACAGGAAGATGAGGCGCCACGTGGAGGGACCGAGGCCACCACCACATAAGGAAGCTGGTCTACCATCGGGGGTGGGGACCTGTGGAGGGGAACTGAGGTGCCCCAGCCCAGAACCACCATCAGCTCCCAGACATGTGAGTGATGCTTTCTTGAAGCTTCCGGCATTCTTCCCCCCATCCAAGTACAGCCCAGTGAGCGCACCTAGGTGAGACCAGCGAAGAGCCACCCAGCTGATGCAGAGTGCGAGAAATAAGCAGTGGTGGCTATCTCAGGCCCCCAAGTTGGGGACAGTTTGTCATGCTGCAATAGACAACTGCAACAGAAGCCCCTCCCTTTCTCCTGACCTTGCCAGTCCTGAAGCCATCTTTGCTGAGGTGAGGTCGTGGACCCACCACTCACTCATGCCTGAGTACTGGGTAGCACGTCTCCATCCACCCCATGGTGCCCTGGCTGCTGACCTGGACACCCTTTCTCTCAGGACAGCTGTTCTGTATTTTGGCTTTGCAACAGCATCTCAGAGGTGGTGGGAATGAAAACATGTGAGTCTGTTTCAGTTGTTTGTAGTGCAACAAGTCACCCCAAAACTAGTGGCTTAAGAGAACAATAATTTACTTTGCTAACAAATCTGCAACTTGGGGAAGGCTTGGTGGAGACAGCGTGTTTTTGCTCCACACGGTGTCAGCCGGGGTGGTTCAAAGACTGGGGGCTGGAATCGTTTGAAGTCTTGACTCTCACATGTCTGGGGGTTGAGGCTGGCAGTCATTTGGGAACTGTCAGCACAGCTACAGGGGGCCTTTCCATGCAGCTGCTGGGCTTCCTCACAACATGGCAGCTGGATTCCTAGAGTGAGTGCCCCAAAAGAACAAGGCAGAAGTACATGGAATTTGTATGACCTGGCCTCAGAAGTCACACGGCGTCACTTACTCTGTACTCTGTTGGCTGATGCAGCCAGAGGTCTGCCCAGGTTTGAGGCGAAGGAACTAGACCCACCACTGGGTGGGAGTAGTGTCGGCATCACATTGTAAGAAGAGTAAGTGGGAGGGGATATATAGAGATGCCTGTCTGGAAAATACCACCTGCTACCGGACCTAAGCCTCATGCCTGAAGAATTGATTCTGCAGGCCTAGAGTGAAACCTCAGGATTTTATCTTGACACGTTCCTGGGTGAATCTGATGCACATCCAGGACCTGGCATTGACCCTTTCCCCAAGACCTATGGCCTGTCACCCCTGGGCCTGGGGTGGGGGATTGGCTGCTGCCCTTGCTCATGTGATCCAGGACACTTTGGAGGGAAACCAGCCTCAGGACAGCCAGTGGGGCCTGAGAAGTAGGAGCCTAGTATCTGTCCAAGGCGGGTGGTGACCTGCCCTGCCCTCATTAAAGGGGCCTTTGGGGAGCTGGTTTATCCTAGTAGCCTTTTGTTCTTCCATCCCCGCGTGTCTGTTTAGCACTTTCTGCTTTTCAGGTAGCTGTCCCCAGGCTGCTGCAGGTGGGGTGTGAGCAAGGTGGTTATTGCTCTCTGTGGTGAGACTTTGAGCCCCTCCCCGGGGGACTCACTGCCATTTGGTGTCTTCCCCTCACAGCTATTGTGAAGGCTGTTTTTTTTTTGTTTTTTTGTCTTTTTTCGTGACCGGCAACGGATCGCAACCCTCAGTGTCACGCCCGTACCGGACCGGGACCGGCAACGGGATCGCAACCCTCGGTGTTGCCCCCGCTCCTCGCTCAGCCAGTGAGCGGGAACCGGTCTGTATGTGGGATCCGAACCCTCGGCGGGAGCGCTGCCACACTTCCCAAGCGGCGCACTGTAGCAGTGCGCCACCGGGCCGGCCCAAGGCTGTTTTTTTGACTGATTGAGCCAGAGGAGCACTGGAGGGCTCATTAGTGTGCAGTATTCTGGAAGGGGCTGCCCCAGCCCCTGGGAGTGGTCTAGGGAGGCCTGCACTGGGAGGGGACAGCTCTGCCACAGTTTTGCTCTTTAACCCAAAGAAGGTCATGTCTCAACTCAGAGCTTGTTTTCTCAGCAGTCAAGTGTGTGTGAAGCTTCAGCTCCTGTTCTCTTGAACAAGCTGAGTGGGGCTCCTCTCCCTTAACAGAAAACCTGCCATGGCTCCCCATTGCCCTTGGTCTTAGCCTGCCTGCCCTTTGGGGCTGTGACCCGACCCCTGCTCCAGTGTCAGCATCCCTCGCCTGAACTTGCCACTCTCTTCCACCCTGTGGGCCTTTGCATTCACTGTTCCCTCTTGTCTGGGATGCCTTTCCTTGATTTCACCGCCTGGCAAAGCCTCAAATTTGGCTTTTGTCACCTCTTCCATGAAGCCTACCCCCGACCCTCCTAGCCAGGCTCCTCTGCGTGTGGCCCTCTGCTCTGGCCCCTTTGGTGTGCTGTGGTTCTCTTAGGAGCAGCAGCTAGGGCTCTCAGCTCAGGAGGCTCTTGCAGACAGCCCAGGCTTCGGAGTCAGGCAGTCTGGATTTCAACCCAGTGCTGCTGCTACATACCTGTGTATCTTGGTAAATCGCTTCACCTCTCTAAGCCTGTTTCCTCATCTCTGAGTTGGGGCACAATCACTAAATAGAATTCACATGATATTTTAAGGACGTCAGTGACAGAAGCAGGAAGTCTAATGAGAAATTGGGGGGAGGTCTGAGCTCACAGAGCCCAGAGTTTCCTTCATTTTCATTAAAGAACAGGAGGTGGGAGCTGACGCAGGTGTAGGGAGGAGCCAGCGACCCTCTCCCCCATGCCATAAGTAAGGGTCAGGTGCATAATAGGTGCTGACGTTAGAGTAGAAGCTCCTTGAAGACTGAACAAATGGATGAATGAATGAAGGCAACTGGTTTCTAAATTTGAATTCACCCATGTGACAGGCCTTGTCTGTGCACAGTGGCTGAGGCTTCCTGCCCATCTTCTAGCAGCCGGCCAACACAGTGGCATTGCCAGTGTGGGGCTCTGTGCATGTGGTCAGAAAAGAAACAGCAATTTTAGCGGGCCCAACTGTGGGCCAGGCATGTAAGTGGTCACATGGGTTTCACATTCTTAATCCTCTCAACAACCATAAGAAGCAGGTGATATTCTCTCTGCTTTGTACAGATGAAAACCATGGAGAGGTTAAGGCATTGGTTCCCATAAGCTGGTTGTGCATCACCTAATACCTTGCCTAAAATACATTTTCTCAGCTCTATTGAGCCAAAGTCTCTGAATGTAAAGGTGTATCGATTAGTTATTACCACAAAAATGCTGTGTAATAAACCTGACAACCTCCAAGCTCAGTGACTGCAAACAGGGATCAGTTGTTCTCTGGGATGTGCAGGTTGCTGATTGAGGATGGGCTCTGTGACAGCAGCTCTGCTCTGCCTCATGTGTCTTTCATCTTCCTCCCTGGCAAGTGGGCTCACCCAATGCTATGGATTGAATGTCCCCCCAAAACTCACTGAAGCTTGACCTCGGTTGTAACAGTGTTGAGAGAGTGGGAAATCAGATTATGGCAGTGACGGAAGGTTGGTCTTTAAGAGGTGATTGGATAGTGAAGACTGTGCCCTTGTCAATGGATTAATCCATTCACGGAGTAATGGGCTGATGGTTTAATTGGCTGTCATGGGCATAGACTGGTGGCTTTATTAAGGAGAGCACATGATAGAGCTCACTTGCCATCCTCGCCGTGTGATTCCCTGCATCACCACGGAACACTGTAGAGTTCCCACCTGGAAGAAGACCCTCAACAGATGTGTCCCCTGGACTGTGGACTTCCCAGCCTCTAAACTGTAACAAATAAATTTCATTTCTTTACCCCCTTTTCAGGTATTGTGTTATAAATGACAGAAAATGGACTAATACACACAGGCACCTTCTTTCCAGAGAAAGGCAGATACATACAGAGAACACGTGTGGTCCCACAAGCACTCTGCAGGTCTCTGGGCACTGCCTACCTGCTAACTTTATTGGCCAAAGCAAGTCACGTGGTTCAACCCCGACATGAGGAGCAGAATACTTCACCTCTTGACAGACTAGACTTTTTTTTGTCTACTTGCTTGAACTATCCTACCGTGATGCTTGATTTCAGCTTCTCCTTGTTCTGTCCGTTGTTGCTTCAGATATTTTGGGAACTATCTGGTTAGGTGTGTACCATGTTTAGAATTGCTCCATCTTCTTGGTGAGTTGAACTTTTCATTATTATGTGGTGACCTCCTCTGTCCATAATGATGCTTTTTATCTTTGATCTATTAATATCAAGCAAAAGGGCCTGGAAAAAGACATTTGGCAAACACTACAAAAAGGAAATTGGTGCTGACTTGGCCACCTTTGGCCCTCATGTCTCTTGCAGCATCTCCTAGACTTGCTTTTCTTGTTTGGGTGCTTCCTCCAATGGCATTTACAAAGTAGATCTCTGTGTGGCAAAGCTTCATGAGACCTTTGAATGACATACCCTTGGGCTGGATAAGTTCATTGTTTTTTCCTTCATTACTAGAGTATTTATGGAGTAAGTACATAAATGTATATTTACACAAATTGTTTATTTAGGAGAAATAAGATCCTACACATTCTATCTACACCTTTTTAAAATTTTGACATCTTAGATACTTGTTTTTATTTTGTGTTTTAAACACTATATAGTATTCCATTGTTTGTCTCTAATTTATCCTACCCCTCTTGTGGACGTTTAAGTTGTTTCCAGTTTTGTCTGTTACCCTTTTGCAATAGATGTCATTGTACATGCATTTTTGTGCATACGTGTGGGCTTTTCTGTAGCCTGTATTCCAAGAAGTGGAATTACAGGCTTGTGTTTAAGATTTTTTGATGCATATTGTCAAACTGTCCTCCAAAAGTGTTATAACAATTTGTCCTCCAATCAATAGAAAATGAGGGCCTCTGCCTGTCTACTTACAGGCCCACCTTGGATTGAATCAGAACACAGATCCATGGACAGCAACAAGCTTCCTGGGTAGTTGTATCTTGATGAAAAGTTCTAACGCCTACCAAGGACTGGCAGGAGAAGCTTTATTCCAAACTGCACAAATGCTAACTCTTCTAGTAGCACAAAATTAATGCAGCAGCAGCCTCCTGGGGGTTAAAAACTTGAACTTTAAAAACTATAGCTTTAAAGATAGTCATATATTTATAGAATAAAATTTGGATTAAATACTTATGTAGCTCCTAAAGCATCTTATGGTATGAAAAGCCCCAACCTAGAGAGTTCAGTTTAGCTCTATAGCAGGCCCTGGAGGCTTGTCAGGCCCTGTGCTCTGGGCTCTGGCTGAAGCCCCATCTACCCCATTGGGCAGCTTTGCTCAGCAGGGTTTTGCTGGGCTGTTCCCTCTGCCTGGAATGTCTGCCAGCTTGGCTCCTAGGAGACTCTGCTAAGGTGCCCCTGGGAGGCCACTCCCCACCATCCCCAGGAGAGTTTACTGTTGCCACCTCAGAACCTTGTTCATGCTGCTATTATTACATAAATCACATTGTGTTGTATTTTTTCTGTTGGTTTTTGGGGTTTTTTTTGCCTGCTGTTTAGGTCCAGGACTAAGGTAAGGCAAGCAAGGCACCTAAGGTGAAAAATTTAAAGAGACACTCACTCTCAGAGCCATGCACTTAACTTTTGCACACTGGTGCCTAGTCCATGTCCTGCTACTCTGCTGGCTAGGAGGACTGGACCTGCATCTCCTCTCTCAAGCTGGGCGAGTAATGAGGGGGTATGCAGCCCCAGCATCTGCTCTTTCTCAGCTCCAGGGAACTGTGGAGAAAGGTTAAAACAAGACTGTTAAATCTGCATCTTCTAGGTCATAAAGGAAAAAATATGGTTGATTGAAAAATACAGGAAACAGGGCCGGCCCGTGGCTCACTTAGGAGAGTGTGGTGCTGATAACACCAAGGCCAGGGGTTCAGATCCCTATATAGGGATGTCTGGTTTGCTCACTTGGGAGAGTATGGTGCTGACAATGCCAAGTCAAGGGTTAAGATCCCCTTACTGGTCATCTTAAAAAAAAAAAAAAATACAGGAAACACCCTAAAATGGACAACTCTTTGGCAAAGGCTCGTTTCTATCACGTTGAGTATTTCCTTCTGCCGGATGATGACGAACCTAAAAAAGTTGACTTGATATTTCCAAAGGTGGCCAAAGTTCCTGGATAAGGACTGAAGGTACATGTGCATGCATGCAGCCTTGTATACAGTCTAATACTCGCTCTGCAAAGCGTGCTCCATAGACCTGCATCAATGGCTTCACTTCGAGTTTGCTAGACGTGTAGGATCTTGGGCCCTACCACAGACCTCCTGAATGAGAATCTGCACTGACCTAATACCAATTATATGACTGTTTATTTAGATATATTTACCCAGTAATTTCCTGGGAGTTTCAAAGGTTTTTGCAGCTCTTGAGATTTCTTTCTCTCTGTGTGTGCATGCATGTGTGCACGTGTACATGCATATATATGTGTGTACATGCATGCACATGTGCTACCTGCACCCACACCCACACTCCTGCCAGTGCTTTGGCTGTGGGTCATTGCTTGGAAGTAATCAGAGAGGGCACTAGTTTGCAGGCAATTGCTTTGATTTTGTTTTTTCCAAGGAACCCAGAGGTCCGACAGGGCACAGTTCATGAAGCACTATTTCCCACTGTGCTACTGGAACTGGACAGGTGGAGGGCGGAGCATGGGCTCCAGTGCTGAGGAGGCCGGCGTGCAGGGGCTCAGCTCCGCACACCGCTGCCTCCTCCCATCTTCCCGCAGGTAAAGTCTCTCGATGCTGTTTTATACAGAACATGAGGCCATGGTGTGAAGGTAGTAAAATTTGGTTATCACCGACCCAAACTTTTAACATTGTGTGACAAAGGAATTATTAAAGAAAATAAATTTTCACAAAATATGCTGTGGAACACTAAGGACAAGCTTCTAAAAAAAAAAGTCAGGTGTTATTATTGATTAAAGACCACTGGTTACTTGGATAATGTAGGATCTTTCGGTAAGTAAGGTATTCTGATTTTACTTGAAATGTTTCTGGAGCCTTGTGGCTTCTCACTAGTAACAGAATAAAAGCCAGTGTCCCCTCATTACCTTCACCTGATTTTCATAGTGCACACACTGGTTCCTGTGTGAGCGGCATGTCATCCTTCCAGGAGGTGCTCGCAGTTGTAGGAAGTGCTGCAGGTGGAGCTATGGCCAGAGGCGGGCAGTGTCTGTGTGCCTCCACCGCCTTTCGGGACCTTCTGTCCCGGGGCAGCTCAGACGGGGGTGCCCACCGCAGGCCTGTCTCCCTGGACTAGTATTGTGTGTTCGCTGAAAAAAAATTAGAGGATACCGAGAAACAAAAGCAAAAATTTAAAAATCCTATCCCAGATAGACAAAAACTATGGGAATTCAGTGCCACATGACCAGCCCTATAAGAAACCCTCCAGGGAATCCTTCACCTGGAATCCAAAAAAAAAAAAAAAACATCACCACCATGAATACATGAGAAAGAACAAACCCCACTGGTAGAGCACATAGGCAAATGAGAAAGAGAAAAAAAGTTACTGTACCACCTTAAAAAACCAATAAACTCCAAAGTCAAACAACAACAGGGAAAGAAAGGAACAAAAATATTTAAAACAACCACACAAAAGCAGTTAAATGACAGGAGTTAAGAAAATACCTTTCAATAGCAACACTAAATGTTTATGGATTGAACTTCACACTCAAAAGACAGCAAGTGGCCAGATGGACTAAAAAATCAGACCCAACTATATGCTACCTACAAGAAATCCACCTCACCTTACACAGACTAATAGTGAAAGGATAGAAAAAGATGTACCATGCAAATGGAAACCAAAAATGAGCAAGAGTAGCTGTTCTTAAATCAGATAAAATAGATCTTAAACAAAAAACTATAGAAAGAGACAAGGCCATTATATAATGATAAAGGAATCTATCACCAAGAAGACATAACAATTACAAGGGAAAAGGCTTAGTTTAGGCTTCTGGCACACATTAACTTTAGAAAACTGCTGCTTCTGTTGGACAGGGTGATAACATGGCCCTCACAGGGCCGTTGCACAGTTCAGTTGGTCTGAACGCACCTCCAGCTGTTTCTGATACCTGCTTGGAAACCTGACGGCCACTCAAGCCTATCTAAGACTGCTACCAGCCCTTCTATCCAGATCTGTTTGCCCCCTCATTTCTAGGAGCCAAGAAGGAGATTCACATACTCACAGAATTAACTCTCAGCCATGGTGGAGCCACAGGACACAGAGGAGGAGGAGAAGAAAGCCCAGAAGAAACCCTGCCAGGCCTGGCTCACAGCCAGTAGATTCCAAGTGACAGGTCTTTGGAGCAGCACCGAAAGAAACTATCAGGATCTCAGGCTACCACCCATCCAAGAGGTGAATGAGGTCCACAGGGAGGAGCAGGGACTCAGGTGGGGTGTCTACAGAGACCTCTCCTCCTAACTTACTTCCTCCTCTGATTTAGGCATGGAAGGAAAAAGCACTGTTTGCTAACGTGCTGGAGACTGTGTTGGATCGAGAGAGGTGGAGCTGGGATAGGCATTACCTGGACATGGATCTGTACAGGAAGCCACCACCTTTCTTTGAGCTGCCCCTTCTCCAGCACTGAAGCCCGTAACAGGTAACAGACAAGACCTTTGCCAAGCTGAGCCTCCTGTTGCCACTGGCAGATAATAACTCTGTGCCACTTTGCAGTATCCGTTGTGCTTTAGATATCTGTCCAAACTTCTTATGCTAGGAAATCAAGATTCAAAATGGGTCTCATACAACAGATTGAACACTGGGTTGGAACCCAGATTTTAGCCTGGATTCTAGTCTCATAGTGATGCTAGTTGTGAGACAGGGCAAATCCTTTTACTGCTCTGGGCCTGGTTTCTTAGCTGTGAAGAGGGGGAGTTGGAAGACAGGTCACAGGGCCTCCTGAGCTTCCTCAGTTACCTGTGGCTGGTCTCTGGACGCCTGGCCAACAGGTGGGGGCCAGAGGTTCTAGGCTTCACTGAGGCCTTCCAATCCCTCTGAATCCTCTTTCCTTCTTCTTCAGTCCTGTTTATGAAAACTGACCTCAAGATCATTTACAGATTGATCTAGAACCCAAATTTGTTAACAGAGCCAGAACCTTCGTTCAGGGAGAGAGAGCAGCTTATCTAGCAACAAGGTTTGCCTGAGAAACCTTTCCCAGAAAGCTAGGTGAAATAAACAAGATGGGTTTCTTTCCTCACCCAGCTCCTGAGAGAGGCCACTAACAGCTCCATGAAGCAGGAGAAAGTGCCACCCAGCTTGCTGAAATGTCACTGTCTCCACTTGCCTGGACTCTTTTCCCAGTAGGCCCAAGGCCTTCTGGGGCTTCGTGAGGAAGAGAACCTGCTGCATGCTGGCAGTCCCAGGCTTAGAGTTACTGCTGCAGCTCTTGAAGAAGCTCCCATTGAAAGAACTGTCTAGCCCAGGAATGCAAGAGTCGCCTCCTTGGCAAGAATGCTTTCTAGTGGGTTCCACTTCCCAGCAAATGTTCCCTAGGGGTTTCACTAGTGAAAGCATGTAAGAAATGGATGCTGGAGACTCGCTTCCCCCCACCACATGTTTAAGAAAAACTAGAAACTGCAGGTAAGATGGGGAGACCTGGACCATTAAAACCTAGCTGGATGAAAGGAGAACCTACTGCTGATAGGAGCCTAACGTGCCACCAGGCCTAGAGTGAAGCCCCTCTCCAGAGGGCTACTCAGAGGGGATGGGGTCTGACGGCCCCTTCCCAAGCTCCACCTGTGCAAAGGAACTCCGTGCAGCCTCCCGTCCCCAGCATTGTCCAGAGGAGGTATGTACTACTTACTTTATGCAAAATGCCTCCTTGCCATCATTAATCACCAGCCCACAAAGCAGGAACTTTGGGTTCATTGGAAAGTTACTCCAAAGTCACAATATTTGTAAATTTTCCCCTTTTTAAGATTAGTTACCAAAACTCTGGCAGAATGCTCCACCACGCTAGCTCAGCTCTCAGTGATCTCAACCTCCTCTATGTCTACTTTCGGCACCACAGCAAATTAGGACTTATGTTTGGAGGAAAAAGAGAGCTGGCCACCTCCTCCCCACTCAGGGCAACATCTACAATAGGCTTTTTGGAGCCCCAAACCACCCAGGGACCAGAGCAAAGCTGGAAGCCTGCCACAGGGGGCACAATGGGACCCAGTGTGCTCACGAGTACCAGCAGAAAGAAGCCTGGAGAAATGCAAAGTCCTAGTAGCATGACCCAAGGATACATTCTTGGCCTCTCTTCAAGAGGGGACGCCAGTCCTTGCAGAGAAACACAAAGAAGAGTCCTACACAGGAACACATACACTGCGTGCTGTTGTGTACCAGGCAGCACAGTTCCCCAACTCCTGAGAAGGACCAGAGACAAGGGCTCACAACACCCGAGGCCCTGTGGCACCTGCCCCTCAGTGCTCAGGGCCCTCTTCCCGAGGGTGAGGACAAAGGGGACAGAAGCCATCACCCAAGGGTGGTTCTCAGGGTTGTGCTGTCATCCATTAAAGGCTGGTTCTGAGGAATAATGTGACTGGCAGAGCAAAGGCTAGAAGAATGCACACAAATTGTGACATTTTATTCTTTTTTGCTCAGTGGTTCCTGGTACATGTTTTCAGTGCATTTTGCTTCTGGATTAAATGAGTGACATGTATGTGGCTTTTAAGCTGTTTCTTAGGGATGTGGTCTAGTAGAAATGACCATCCATGCCTGAAACAGGTCTCTGCCAGCCTCATGCCACAGAGGCAACAGCACAAGCCCCAGTCTCCACCACAGTGTCTCCTCGAGTGCCAGAATCCCTGCACATTCCAGGCACCAGCCATTCCACTCTGTCTCAGTGCCTGCAGGGCACACCCTAGAAAAGACTCCCTCAGGTGAGGAGAAAGCCCTTGAGTACAGGCTGGGAAGAAATGGCTCAACTGATAACCCCAAGTTCTCCACCTTCTGAAAGGAGAGTAAGAGTTGTGTACCAATGAGCTGTGGCCTGGGGGCAGGTGGCAGCAGGGAACACTGTCCCCCTGCCTCAGGACGTCCTGTCCAGAGGGTGGGCACAGATGTAAGCTCGCTTCTCAAGGATCTGTTGGGACACTTTCTTAATCTGCTCATCTAGGTTTTCTGGAGCATCTGGGAGGAAAAAAGAGAGTAGACAGGCGATCTCTCTGCACTGTGATGATACAAATACAGCTAAAGCGGGCATTTTTCCACAAAGTCAGCCCCACCCACTGCGAAGCAGTTCTGAAGGTGACCCCCTCCTCCATCCCCCAGGAAGTGATTCTGGGCTGCAGGTAGAGACAGGGATATTCATTCTGAATAACAAAGGGCTCATCCTGTTGTTCTCTAAAAACCCCAGACCATGGGCCGGCCCGGTGGCGCACTGGATAGTGCACCGCTTGGGAAGCGCGGCGGCGCTCCCGCCCGAGGGTTCGGATCCCACATACAGACCGGTTCCCGCTCACTGGCTGAGCGAGGCGCGGGAGCAACACGCGGGAGCAACACGCGGGAGCAACACCGAGGGTTGTGATCCCGTTGCCGGTCCCCGGTCCGGTACGGGGGCAACACTGAGGGTTGCGATCCGTTGCCGGACACGGAAAAAAGACAAAAGACAAAAAAAAAAAAAAACAAAAACCCCAGACCTTGTGGGGTAGCAGTGGGGAGAAGGCACTTGCTCAGTAAACAGCTTATTTGCGATTCCAACCTCTTGGTGGAGAAACCATTTCATCACCCTGCACAGCATATAATAGTCCTGTCAGCACCGCGGGGGGTGCCTGGGCCAACCCCCAGAACCAGCAGCCACACAAAATCAGATGCCACTCTCCTTGGCAAATGCCATGGGGCTATGGCCTCTTCACCACTGGTGGATGACAGGACTGGGCTCTGCAGGGGACATTGAGCCAGAGCCTCCAGTCCAACAGGACTGAAGGGTCAGAAGAAGTAGACTCTGAGCTGGGAGTTCCAGGATGTGGTCACATAGCCATGGGAGAGGGAGCCCACTGACCAGCTGAGCACACGAGCAAAGTGCCCATGTCCTCTAGGGCCCAGGACACCTGCAGAACACAGCACACCATTCTGGCTGGGTGCAGAGGCATGAGAGGTGGGTACAGGTATGATGTCACCCTCCTCGGTGAGCTCTCCCCAGGCAGCCTCAAGAATGTGACCAGACACGGGGCAGACACCAGCAGGGCCTGGCATGAGGGGACGAGGGCTGTGCTTGCTCCCCCTGCGGCGGCCGTGGCAGGTCTCTGCCTGCAGGTGTCCTGCCTGCCAGGCACGGCTGTGGGTAAGCCCCGGCCCTCACTCACAGCGGAGGTTTGTGAGCGGCCGCAGGCTCCGGGAGCCTGGGATTGGGCCATTCCCCTCCCCCAGCTGTCCCACTTACACTTGTCCAGCTGAGCTAGGCTGAAGAGGTTCTGGAAATAAGCTTCCACGCAGAACATGTTGGCCAACAGAACCTGCCAGACCCAAGGTCAGAAAGGAAAACTTGAGAGCCCTGGAGACTTTACCTCTGAGCTTCAAGGATCCCTCTCTGTCAGCCAAGCTGGGCAGCCTGGCAAGGGTCAGAAGGCCTGGCTCAGAAGTCACACAGTCTTGGGTTCTAATTCCAGCCCTGACCCAAACAAGGTCTGTTCCCAAGGCCAAGGGCATCAGCATCTGAGCCTCAGTTTCCTGCCCTGTGAGGCAGACATCATAACCCTGGTGTCCACAGGCTACTTTGGGACAGTGTGTGTGAAAAGCCAGCGCTCAGCAAGTGCTCATGACTGCACCCGCCTCCCTCCAGCAGGGTGAGTCATGTATGGGGCCCCCCCTCAGTGGGGGAAGGCAGGCAGGGTGATGGCACTAGGTCAGGACCCCTGTCTCTCACCACCCCTTGTCCTCCTAGGAAAAAGACAAAAGGGAGTGGCCCTGCCTCCTGAGCAGCACGGACACCCCCACAGCCATGGCATGGGATCCCCACCAGCCTGTCCGGACAGCGGCTGCTTGCACCCCCGAGACCCAGCCTCTCAGTGACCACTGCAGATGTCGATCCACCCAGCCCCTCCCTTCTGGGATTCCTGACAGGGCAACACCAACTCTGTCCCCATCAAAGAGCCGCGGGACAGAAGCAGGCAAGCCAGCTGTATGCGGCGGCAGGCTCACCTCATGGTCGTGGTTCTGCAGCCCAGTGCGGATGGAGCGGCTGGCCCGTGAAAGCACGGCCGTCATGCCGTACAGGTTGATGAGGATGTTGGCCACACGCTTCATCACCAGCTGCTCTTCCACGATGGTCTGGGGACATAGGCTCAGAGTGGAGACTGGCTACCTAGGGCCACCCCACTTCTCCCCTCCCCTGGGCCATGTCGCCTGTCTTTCAGTTCCCCCTTCAGGAACCTCGGTAAAGTGGTGTCAAGAAGGCTCGTCCATCTGAGCAGAGAGGCTGGCTCAGCTGCCGGCGGCTTCCCTTCCCTCTGTTCCCCGCAGGCAGGCATCGAGACACCACCAGGTCCCAGAAACTCAGCCAAGGCCACAGGCTGGTGCTTAGCTGCTTAAAGTCACCTTCAGCTACAAGGGCCCTGCCCCACAGATCAGATCCCTAGGTTCTGGCCCCAGTCAGGGACACCTCTCCTGATTCCAGGGAGCCTCTCTTCACCTGGAAGGTGCGTGGGAGAACATCGTAGGCAACTCACGCAGCAGGGCTTCCCACTCGAGTAACTGAGTGGCCCCAGGACAGGCAGACAGCCAGCCTGAACTCCGGGCCCCATCCCTCCATGGTGGTCAAGATTTCTGAAAGTTCTAGACCAAGTTCCAAAAATGGATGCTTGGAAGAAAATGGCCTCATGGATGTTATGGGCCCAGACCGGCAGGGCCCGGTTACCTTGCCAAAGCGGAGCAGCAGCATCTCGACAGTCCGGCCAAAGGAATACACGTTTTCCTCGAGCTTGTTGGCACTGTCCTAGTTAGGCCAGAAAACAGGACTCACTCAGCACCTCACCCCTACAGTGCCCCGTCGTGTCCCACCTAGACAGTGCACCCCCTGAGGCTCGGGGCACAGATGAAGTGGGGGCGTCTGGGATGCCTCAGACTAGCTGGTGCTCCCCAACTTTTCCTGGCGAAGCCTAGACCCCTAGTCCTTTCCCTTCTGGGATGGGGATATCTGGCAGGAGGGCCCCCAAAAAGGGGGGTACACCTGCTGGGCCCACTCACCTTAAGACTGGGGTGTACAACTCCAAGATTGCCTGTCAGCCCCAGGTCCACAGTTCGGCCCAGGGAATCCCGAATCCTCTGGCTGACAGTCTCCATGACTGTGATCACTCTGCCCCGTTTAAGCTCACTGCAGGAAGTCCATGGTCCTGTGACCCAGGGCCCTGCTACTGGCTCCCACTGCCCAGCAGCATGGCCCCCTGAGCTCTGCACCCCTCCCTCAGTGTGCGCAACCCGGGCTCCTGGCTGCAGGCTGAGCCAGCCCTTAGTCACAGCCAGCTTCCCGGTGGCTGTTTCCTGTTAAGGAATCTGCAAAGCAATCTGACCTTGGGCTCTAGCAGTGATTTCTGACTGCTCTGCCCCAAGGTGGAGGGAACAGGAAAGGAAGGAAGGTAGAGAAGAGAGAAACTAGTCTTGTGGTGGCCTCAGAGCCTGGCTCAGAGCTTGAGGGTCATCACTCATTCCTCAGGTTCTGAAAATCCAGCCACCCACAGTGTGGGAGCTCCCAGGGAAGGAGACAGAGTTCTGAGTCGAGGCAGGAGGGCAGCGTGACTGTGAGGCCAGGCAGTGAGGGCTTCCCCGGGCATCCGTCCTCTCCCGTGCCCCACAGGTGGGGTCCCACCCCGATGCCTAGCCTTCCATGCCCCGCGCTGGCCAGCCTGCCCTCACACTTGGGCCCCGGCCTAGACTGTCCTTTCCTCCTGCCAGAAAGGCCTCTGCTGGGGGTTGGGGGCCTCTGAGCAGACGGAGGGAAGGCACCTACCGGATCCTTTCAGTCAGGATGCGGCCGGCATGCTGCAGACCTGTCAGGGCGATGTACATGCGGAGGATTTCGTTTGTCCCCTGTGGCAGGCAGTGCAGCAGTCAGGGGCTGCCCCATTGGCAGCGCAGCTGTGTGCTGGGCAGGCCGAGCCACAGCTCGCCCACACACCTGCATGGAGCAGGGCTGTGACGAGGGTCAAGGAATGTAGAGGGACAAGTGGGGGCTGAGCAGCCAGCTGTGGACCTCCCGCTGGGAACTCCCACTGAGACCACCCCACTGGGTGTCATTCCTTTCCCCAAACCCCGACTCCTGGCTCCTCTTTAAAATGGAAACCAACTGGTGAGAGATCCTGATGCCCGAGGCACAGCAAGTGCCAGACAGACATCCACTGGCTCTGGGCCGAGGCCAGCTTCCTCAGGGAAGCTGCACACAGCTCCTCACCACCCATGATTCTGCCCCAATGCTGAGAGGCCCGGTGGGCTTCTGCCCACTGCACACCAGAGGACCAGGCTGGCACCTGATCAGTAAAGAGAGGAAGGGGGCATGTGGAGGCCTCCTGGCAGAACCACCCCCAGCTCTGAGCACAATCCCCACACAGGAGCATCTGCCGCACCCCCAAGGCTCTGTATCCTTCTGAGCACGCCCTTAAAGGCTTCCCAAACACCTGCTGACCACCCCACCCAGCCACAGAGGAGCCACCTCCTCTTCCCTGGCTGAAGTTAAGGCCTTTGGAGAAGCAGTCCTGGGCCAGCAGGGCAGTGAAAGGCTCTGTCCTCTCAAGCTGGCCCTCACCCGTCCATCCACCAAAGGAGAGGAGGACATGTGGAGCAGGCTTGAGGACAAAAGTAGCCACAGAATCCTTCCACTGGGCAGCACAGCCCAGAAGCCAAGACCCAGCTGCCAGAGCCTGAGGGTGCCCCTGTGACCGCACCAGCTGCTTAGGCTCACCTGTGAGCCCTCCTCCATCTAGGGTCTGTCTCTTGCACACCCCATACCCATCATCAAATACTGTCCATCTTCTCGCCACAGGCTCAAGTCTATCCCCTCACTCCCACTGGGAGCGCCCTGGCCTCTGGTCTCGTCCCTGCAACCCACCCTTCCCAGAACACAAATACAGCCAAATCACTCCTGCTCAAAAACCCCATGGCTCGCAAAATTCCTCTGCTTGTCCTGCAGGGTCCTCCAGAGTCTGGCTACTTTTCTGGTCTTCCCATCCCGCGCCGCACCCCCTCCCCTCTCCTCCTTCATGACCTGCATGGCCCACCTAGCAGGACCGACTGCTGCTCCCAAAAAGACTTCCTCACTCTCTGCACTCCTGTACTGCTGGCAGTTATGTCCCTGCCCCTCGGCCCAAATCACCCTATCCTCACACAGATCAAAGTCTTTCCTGTCCCAGACGGCCAAGAGCACGTGCTTCACGAGACTCCAGCTCTCTCCAGGAGGACGCTCACCTCTTTGTCTTGCGTGTACTTGCGTGTCAGCGTCCTCCCGGGCCAGTCATGCCGTACAATCGGAACACACCATCCCAAAGTCGTCTCTGGGGCCCCAGCATCCCCATCCCCAACCCCTTCTGGCATACGCTAACTGAACTGACCCTTTAGACTTATGAATTCATGGAGGGCAGCAGTTAGAGGATGAGAAACATCCCGGGCTCAGATAGCCCCCAGAAATGACCTTGCTGAACTGCCTCAAGTTACTTAGAAGGAAAACAAGACCCAGAGGGTGTGCATTTGAAGCAGAGCCAGAGCTGGGACTGGAAGCTGGGTCTCCTACAAGACCGTGTATCCCACTACACCCAGCCATAAGCAAAGATGACTAGCAGCGGGTTACCAGGAGGCAGTGGGCCAGTGGAAAGGGTCCTCCAGAGTGGGACCCTGAGTGAGCTGCTTGGCCTCTCAGCCTCAATTTCTCCCTCTGCAAAATGGGCTCATGTAGGATTATGAAGAGGATCCAGGGAGGGAAACCATAAGCCATCCCCAGGCCACGGTGGGCCTCCGCTGGGCCCTCAGCAGCACTTCCTAGGACCAGGAGGGTGAGAGGTGAGGACGGGGACGCCAGCAGAGAGCAGCATGGCTGGCACAGGGCCACTCACCTCGAAGATGAGGAGGATGCGGCTGTCGCGCAGCATGCGTTCGTACGGGTAGTCCCTCATGTAGCCTGAGCCCCCGAGGATCTGCAGCGCCTCACTCACGCACTGCCAGGCGCCCTCGGAGCTGAACACCTGCCATGGGCCCAGGGCAAGATCAGACAGGGCGTTGCTGCCAAATCCGTCCTGAAAGGAGGGCCTATGCCTAGGAGCTTGTGGCTGGGATGGAGCAGCGGCTGGCTCTGAGCAGGAGCCCAGGCCTTGGGATGAGACTGCCCCAGGGAGAGACCTGCCAGGCTGCCACAGGCAAGGGCTTTGCCTTCCTCCACCACACTGCCTGGCGCCCCTGCCCGGCCTCTCACCCCTGTGGGCCTTCCTCCACCCCTCCTCCACACAAGGTCAATGCTTGTTCTTTGAATCCACTTAAGATCTCACCTTCTCCAGGAAGCCAACCCACTCCCAGGCAGCCCCCTTGGCCTATGACCCCCTGTCTGCACTGAGCAGACACCCAGACACCTGGCCCAGCATGACCATGACCCATCTCTGTCTGTCCACCCCACTGTCTTGGGGACAGAGACACTGTCACATCTGAAAGAGGGTTGGCTCAGACACCAGTTAATGTCTGTGGTTACTGCTGAAGGGTGATGAGAGGACGAGATGATAAAGGGGTGCAGTTGCACCCAGCACACAGGCCACACCTAAAGACCTGCTCAAACGCTGCACGGCATTCCCAGCCCTCAAGGCAGGTTTCCTGCCAACACCAGAACGTCCACCTCTCCAAGCTGTCACACCTCTCATCTTCTCTCTCAAGTGCTCCATTTCAGAGACCAGTTTAAAAACAATTGTAGGGAACCAAACCAAGGTTGCCATCTTTTTTATCATAGCTAAAAAATGACAGCCCCCGAAACAAAACAAAAGCAAGAGAAAGCTCTACTATCTACCTCAAACAAACACCTGATAGGAGGTTTTGATACCAAAAAGTGGAGAGGCTGTAAACTCAGAAAGAGACAGTCCTTCCCAAGAATGCCCAGCTGCTGTTTTATGCTGATAGGAGGTGATGATAATGGTCTATATTTTCTCCTTTTGCTATAGACCAGTGATCAACTGGTGGAAACTCAGCGCAAACCCCACCGGGGAAGTAACTGCATGGTCCTACAAGCCAACACTCAGCCGGGCCCTGTTCTTTGCTGCTGCGTCCTGGAGCTGCCCAGCCAAAACACTGCACTCAGAGAGTGTGCCATGAACACAGGGTTGGTGACAAACTGACCCATAAGCTACTGAGACAAGGAAAACAGCAGGTGACACTGTGGATCTGAAAGGAGCTTTTAAGTCTCCCTCCAGTGCCAGCTCTCCGGTTATGCTGGGATTACCTTCACCATTGCCGCCTCCATGGAGCAGTCAGGAAACCCCGGTCGGTCCAGCATCCCTGCAGTAAGGTAGGCCATACTTTCCATTACATAAGCCTTCTGAGCCATCAGTGCAAACTTCTCCTGGAGGGTTCAGGAAAAACACAGTCAAAAAGCAATCTGCAGGTGGCCAGTTAGCTCAGTTGGTCAGAGCGTGGTGTTATAACACCAAGGTTAAGGGTTTGGATCCTCCTACTGGCCAGCCACCAAAAAACCCCCCCAAAATAAAAAAACAAAAAAGCAATTGGCATGGGCTGAGAACTGAATCTGCTAACTAGCAAAGAAGGTAATTAAGTCAGAAGCCTCATTGCCCAAGAGAACCAAGCCCAGACTTTAATAAAAGGGACCTATGTCAATAAAGCTTTCCAAGTCTGCTTCCCAAATCACCACGAGTCTCCAGCAGACACCAAACAAGCCCACGTTTCATGTCCACACAGCAAAATCAACAAACACGGTACTCATAGCCACTAGTACCTGAATTAATCCAAATTCACTGAGATTTTTGTTGAACTGTCTCCTTGTGCAGGCATATTCAGCAGTCATTTCTGAAGAAGAGCAGAGTTGTTAAAAAGAACCAGATGTTTCTGGCTGCCCAAAAATGATGTCCTAAGGCTGTCATCATCACCCTTCAAACGTTCAGGCAGGAACTAGGAGAAATGTGTCTGCTGAGACCAAACGCCCTGAAAGACAGAGCCCCACTTTCCAGGCTTATGTGGCTCAGAGACAGGACTGTCCACTCCTCGTGGTGCCTGCATGTGGAGTTCAGTCAGATGTGGATCTGAATCCTGGTGGCCCAGGTCAAGTGCTTCACCTCCCTGAACACCACCACCCGCTTCACAGAGTCGCTATGAAGATGAAATCAGACAGAACGTGGAGGTGCTGAGCACAAAGCTGGGTGCACAGAGCACCCAGACAAAGGTGGGGGCAGGCCCACACCTGTCACAGGTGTCCATGACCAAAGCAGGAGCGGCAGCCTGGTTTGAAAATTCAGGCCCAGGGCTTCAAGATGAGTAGCTGTGAATTTGGGTTGAGCTCTGAAAGCCCTGTGACAGGGCCTCCCGCCCAGGCATTAGCATCCCCAGCCCTGGCTGCAGCCCATGATTTCCAAATGCTTAGAAGTCGACAGGCCCCCACGTGCACGTGTTTCTGCACTGTGGGATCTCATCAGGGGTCCTGCATCCTTTGGGGGCCAGCCTGACCCTAAGAGCCCCCGTGAAGCTCTTCCACGGAGGAGTCCTCCAGACGGGGAAGCAGAGGTCTTGCAAGGAGCACGGCAAAGTGAGAGGAGCCCTGAGCTTAGAGCCTGACAGGGTGAGTTTCAGGTCCAGGTGCAGGGCCTTGGGCAAATCCCTTGCCCTCTCTGAGCCTCAGTCTCCTCACCTAGAAAATGGAAAGAAGAACCCAAAACAAAGCCGTCGTGTGCCCACCCTACCCTGAACTCTGAGAGGCCAGGCCAGAGCCTGGTACCAAAGAGGGACTTCACCAAGCACTCGGGAGTGTGCTGTCCTTAGCACCCCCACTTCCCTGCCATCACTTCCAAACAGCTAAGGTGGTTATAGGGCCAAGTTCACTGGCAAAGGAAAAGTTACATTTCAGGTGTCCTAACAGAAAAGAGCAAAGGGAAGATTCAGAGGCCGAGGGATGAGTTCCAAACCCGACCCCACTCCTCACTCATAGTAGAGAGGCACCTACAAGACGGGGACCCTGTGAGGAGAACAGCTGATGTCTCTTTGGTGCGGGGCTCATGGCCTGATGTCCACTAAGCAGCTCTGTTCTCACTGGTCAGAGCTGCAACCCTTTTCTACCTCTGACAGAACGTCTGCTCCCCCCGCCCCCATCCTTTGTGTGCAGGTAAAACAGAGGAACGTTGAAATATAAAGCCTGATGCTGACCCTGAGCTGGACCGTCTGTCCAGGGGGCCTAGTGTGGCCTGGCCTGCCCTGGTGAAACAGCAGAGCATCCGGGCTGCAGTGGGGGTAGCGGGGGCAAGACTGCTGCGAAGGGCTCCGGTGCCCAACTCACCTACCGATCAATTTCTTGAGCATCCCAGCCACAGCGCTGCCCATGCTGAATCGCCCACTGTTGAGGATGTTCATGGCCACCTGCAGGGATGGGGAGAGCCCAGGGTGCTGAAGGATGCAGAGGCACAAACCACACAGCGCCAGTCTATGTTCTCCAGAGGCTTTCTCAAAAACAAAAGGCAAGTCTCTGGAAAATTCTGTGCCAGCATCCTGGTCAGGTTAGCCATCCTGCCTTCCTTTGGGCTGGGAGAAAGCACAGTCACCACACTTCAAAGCAAGGTGATTTGGTCACGGCAGCAGCTCCCACAAACATCCTTGCGGCCACCTCCCTGCACCCACAAAAAGCCACCGCGCACATCATTCCAAAGGACCATGCAATTCTCTTGGTCCTCAGGAGAAGGAAGTAGAAACGAAGATTTGTGGGGTACACGCTGCAAGCTACCTGCATTTTCCCAACAATGTTTCAGGGATAAAGAACTTGAGGTGCAGAGTGGAGAAGAGCCCCTTCCGAGAGCCCACACCGAGGGTCCACCTGCATCCAAGCCCACGCACTTGCCCCTGAACCAGCCCCTCAGGCTGAGAGGACCCCCGTGAGCTGGCCACATTCCTTTAGTAATGCCACGATGGCTCTGTCGGCTTCTCTATCTTCCCACTTAACACAGGGAGTGAGCAGCTTGAATGAGGGGCAGACACACACCCTGGTAGCCACAATGCACTAGTTTTCTAGATTCATGGACGCTTCCCCTGACAGGCCAGAAAGGGCTCAGAGACAAAGAGCCAGTTGGTCAGCAGCAGGTGGTCAGTGGTGTGACAGGGGCTGAAGGGACAGTGTGGGTCCAGGGGCAACTTGTGATGTGGGGAGAGCAGATTCTGGGCAGCAAAGCCTTTGCCCAGGACACACCGAGTTGGGTCTGCCAGGCCAGCCAGGGAGGAAGTCACCCCAGGCAGAGGATGGACATGTGCAAAGCCCTGGGGCTACCTAAAGGGCAGTTCTGACCCCAAGCCCTAGATAGCCCATCAGGAGTCTCCAAAGGCAGGGTGCAGGCCCGTGGGCAGCGAAGAAGGCTGTGAACTCTATACCTAAAAGCTCGACTTCAATCGTATTTTTACTAAATGCTTGATTGTGTGTGACTTGGATTAATAAAACATGCAACAGAATTTGAATTGATGATTGTTAAATAACCCAAATGGGAGAATCTCAGAGCAGACCCTGTGGTGAAACAGCAGGTCCTTGGGGCTTGGAGCGGCTGGAAACAACTGCTCCAGATGACTGGGAGGGGCCAGCGCTGATACCCGCTCTCATCTGAGACAGCTGGGAAACTCAGAGACAAGGTCCCTAGTGTTGGCCTAGCCCCCAGCACTGGTTGGGGAAGGGGGCTTGGTTAAGTCCTGCCACAGTGTGAGATTCAAATCCCACCTGTAGAAATGGGGTCCCTCCCTGCCTCCTCCCCAGGGCCTGAGGAGCAGTGAGGGCCCCATTCCCTCTAACCTCTCCAGCTCCAGACTTCCTGGGTCTTGGGACACTCAATGACACTGGCCTCTTTCGACCTGCCAGAGGACTGAATTCTCCTGCATTTATTCCCTCTCCCTCTTTCAAAAGCCAGCCCATAGTTTATGAATAAAACTCAGTTCACGGCCCCTTCATAGTTTGTTAACTTCATTTAAATAAAAAAAGGGTTTGGCACTAGGCTTATTACTCAAAGGATCAAAGACCGGATAGGTTTTGCCATATCTGAAGAGGGTCTTGTGCCCAAACATTAGTCCTCTCCTTAGCCCTGGGGCCTCTCCCCCAGCCTGCTCGGTACCTGTGTGGTGTGTCACCTTCTCTACCACAACATGGTTTCTTTCTCCAGTACCCACAACTACATTCCAGATCTTAGTTTTCCCAACAGCAACATTCAACTCCCTACCTGTCAGTCTCTCCATCTTAAGAGGTCTGACTTTTCATAACATCTTTTGACCACTCCAAAGGGAAAAGTCCTTACTTTCATCCTGCATCAGCCCACTCAGTTTTCACTGGGCCTCTCATCGTTGTGTGATCTCTGGGATCACTCCAGTGTATTAGACTTTTTAGTATCCAGGCTAACTGGCAAACAATCCCACTAGAACCAAAAAAAATAAAACAACTTTGGAAATCTATTTTCCTTTGCATGTTAAAACAACTATCATTTTTCACCCATCACAATGGCAAAAATTAAAAAAAAAAAAAAACAGTGTTGAGAAGGATAGGGAAAGAGGCATTCTCAGCCCTGCTGGAGGGCGCAGACGCTGGCCCAACTTCCCAACAGGCAACTCGGCAGCATGGATTAAGAACCAAATGGTCACACCCTCTGATCCAATAATCTTACCGGTGGTATTTAAACTCAGGAAATAGACAAGTGTGCAAGGATACGTACATGGATACATGCCATGCAACGTGGCTCTGAACAAGGAAGAAGGGAAGACATGTTAAATGCCCAGTACCAGTGATCTGATGACACTAAATACGGTACAAAGTACAAAGAAATACTGTGCCACACCAGACATCATTAATACGTATTTACTAGCACAAACAGATTGCCATGATTTACTGATGAGTGAAAAACGCAGGCTATAGGCTATAATAAACAACACACACAAAATATTTAAGTGGTGCATATTTAAAAGATCGAGAAAGATAAGCACCAAAAATGTGAACCCTGGCAACTCTCTTGGGATGGGCTTCAGGTGATTTAATTTTTTCCTCTGTCTACATTTTCCAATCTGTATATAACAGCTGGGTTACACACATAATAAACAAACTGTGAACAGACACAGCTTGCTATGTGTCTGCCCTTCCGCCCCTCCAGCCCTCTGTTCTACTTCCACTGAGCAGCCTCAGGTGCCAAGAGCTTTGGCCAATGTCTTTTCTGATTCTCTTAACACCCCAGGAGGGAAGGGAGAGATTACTCTGATCCCTGCTTCACAGCCAAGGGGGGTGGGGCTCCCCTGGGCGAAGATACTTGTAAATTAGGGCAGGGCAACAATAAAAGGAAGAATAGCCCAATTTAAAAATGGGCAAAGGATATGAAAAGATACTTCTTCAAAGAAGATATACAAACAGCCAATAAGCACATGGAAAGACACTGAACATAAGTCATTACAGAAATGCAGATTAAATCCACACAGTAAGATACCACTTCACACCCAGTAGGATGACTGTAATTTTAAAAATGGACAATAACAAGTGTTGTCAAGGATGTGGAGAAAATGGAACCTCACATGCTGCTGGTGGGAATATGAAACAGTGCAGCCATTGGCAGATTTTCTGAAAGTTAAACATGCGGTCGCCACATGACCCAGCAATTCTATGTATTTACCCAAGAACTGAGAATATTTGTCCATGCAAACCTTAAACATGAATGGTCATAGAAGCTTTACTGGTAACAGCCAAAAAGTGGAAACCACCCAAATGTCCATCAACTGACAGATGGATAAACAAAATGTGGTCTCTGCATACAATGGAATATTATTTGGCCATAAAAAGGAATGAAGTACTCTACATGCTACAACGCAGATGAACCCTGAAAATGTTAAGTACATGAAAGAAGACAGCCAAAAAAGATCTCACACTGTCTATGACTGCATTTATGTGAAATATTCAGAACAGGCGCATCCACAGAGACACAAAGTGAAACTGTGGCTGTGAGGGGACGGGGCCAGTGGGAACTGGAAGGTACAACATGTCTTTTTGGGGTGATGGAAATGTTCTGGAATTAGACAGCTAATAGCTGCACAACACAGTAAACAGACTAAAAACCACTGATGTGCACATTTTAAAATGGTGAATTTTACACTGTATGAATTATAGAGCAGGGACTCAAGGCCAGGGCTGTGCATTTGCAGAACCTGAGCTTCTTCCAGAGCCGACTGGCCCGCTTGCTTCCACCTGCTGGGGAGAGAACCTGTCTCTTATCAAGGCCTTGGAGATGAAGGAAGATTCCCAATCCTAACCAAAAACTCCCTCTTCTAGGAGTGAGCCAATTTCCCAACCAAGAACCTCGCACAGTCACCAGCCAAGCCCAGGCTGGTCTGCTACGTGCAGGGATGGGACAGAAAGCTGGGGCTAACCAGCCACACTGAAACTGCACACCACGCACAGGGGCTGCGGCTGGCAACTCACCTTAAACCCACCTCCAACTTCTCCAAGAACGTTCTCAATGGGCACCCTGGTGTTTTCAAAATGGACTTCACAAGCTGAAACAAATGACATTTAAGACCTTGTGTGACAAATGCAAACCACTCTACACTGATTCACTGGCATGCAACTCACTCATCCAACATGTGGTCAGACGGTTCAGAAAGACAAAGTTCCTATCTTTGTGGGGCTTGTACTTTGGTTAGGGAGACCAACTATAAACAAGATGAAACAATATTGTGGTCAGTGCTACAGATGACATAAATAGGGAACAGTGATGGAGAGAGATGGGTTAGAATGGACAGATAATATTTTTATTAAGGGCTAAGTCAGACTTTTTTTTTTTTTAAAGCAGCTGGCTGGTACAGGGATCTGAACCCTTGACCTTGATGTCATCAACACTGTGCTCTAACCACAACTGAGCTAACCAGCCAGTCTCTAAGTCAGACTTTTCTAATGTGACATTTGGTAGAAGTTTAAAGATGAGAAAGAGCCAGTCATATAAAGTGCCAAAGACAGAACAATCAAGGTAGATGTACCAGCATTTCCTACGGTCTCAGGGCAGATGGGATTATTGGTTCCAATTCTTAACTCTAACACAACCACACCCCTGGAGCACCTGCTGCCCATCCTGTCCCTGCTTGCGGATGCTGGGTATGACCATGTGACTTGCAGTGGCCAGTGGAATGCAGCTGGCCCTGAGGCCTTAAATTTGCTTATGGGGTCTGACTTGGCCCCCTGGTGCTTGTGATCTGCTACAAGGAGAATATGCCCCAGGATGGTAAAGAAAACACAGGGCAGACCCAAACCCCACCCACATCCTGGAGCAGGCTGCTCGGGCCCCCACGGACTGAGAGAAAACAAGATGCTTGCTGCTGTGAGCCTTAGCATGCTGGAGGAACAGAGATGAGGTCGGTGTGAATGAGATGCAGCCAGGGAGCAGTAAGAGTGGCACGGTGACAGCAGAGGCTGGGAAGGAACAGGGGCTTCTGTACCATATTTTCTGTAACAATGTGGTTTTGCATGTTATGTTACATAAATTCACAACTCCTGGCAATTTACAGTGGAGCAAGGAGAGGCTCAGGATAGAGATGGTCATGGCTCCAGAATAGCCAAGCCAGGTGTGGGTGACCTGGGTCTGCCGATCTTTCACTCTACTATTACAGCCATGCTCCAACAGCTTGAAAGCGATGAAATCACTGTCTCTCTGGCTGCTGGGTTGTATTGAAGGCTCGTAGCACATGGGCTGCAGGACCAGGCCCTCCTCCCAAAGGCTCCTGTTCCTTTACAGGCTGCTGGGCATGAGGAGGACCCTGCCTGCCTCTCTGGTCTTTGAGCTATTTGGCCCTCTCTCAAGGGGCTGCTGCACGACACCAGTGGGTACCCCCCACCCAGGCTTCAGTGTGGACCAGACCCCTGCAGTGATGCTTGGTGGTGGCCACCCAGCTCCATCCTTCCACCTCTCTCCCCATCAACCTGCCAAGCTCTTCAGCATCTTAAAGATACTGCGCATGCTCTGTGCCCTCACTGCACAGCAGAGTCGCAGTGGTGATACTAAGAGCAGCAGTTAATACTGCTGTGTTTTCACAAGGCGGGTTGTTATCCCCTTTCCTTCAGCTGAAGAAACTGAAGTGCAGAAAAGTAAACCAGCTCGTTCAAGGCCACACACTTCTAAGTGGTGGGGCTCAGGTTATAGCCTGGGCCCTTTGATCCCCTGGCCCAAGGAGTTGGCATGGCAAATGCCACCATCCAGAACGTGGGGTCCCCAAAGATGAGGTGGCACACAGAAGTCGGCCTGGAGGTGCCAACGGTGGCCTACAGTCCCAATATGGTCACTCTGAGATCTGAACCAGGAGACCTAAAAGGCAGAGCGTGTGGGGACTCATGGCAGCAGTGGGCAGGCTGAGGACAACATCTGACAGGACACCAGCCTCAAGTGAACTGAGCACCGACCAGGGACTACAGGTGGGCCTGGGCAGGTAGGTGGAGGTTCCGGGAAAGAAAGACATGGTGTTTTGTCACGGAATGTTCACCTAGGACACCCCACGACCCTCCCCTTCTTGGAGCCTCCCCACAAGGCTGAGCGTGCCAATGGTGTCCTCACCTTGAAATTACCAGCGCTCACTGCACTGAAAGGAGCACAGTCGCTGTCTGTGGAACTCATGAGTTAATTTCAAGGCACTCAACTGCATCACCACAGACGGGTCTTTTATGGCATTCTTAATTTGATTTTGCTTAAAAGTTTAAGTGCAATCAAAACTATATAAATTTCATTTTATCTTGATATTTGGATAGAGCAGAGGGTCTGATCGCACTCAACTGCATCACCACAGACGGGTCTTTTATGGCATTCTTAATTTGATTTTGCTTAAATGTTTAAGTGCAATCAAAACTATATAAATTTCATTTTATCTTGATATTTGGATAGAGCAGAGGGTCTGATCTCTCTCTCTCTCTCTCTCTCACACACACACACACACACGCTACTTACTGTTGGAGCCCCGAATGCCTAACTTATCTTCAGGTTTCCCATTAGTGACTCCACCAAAGTCTCTTTCTACTATGAATGCTGTGATTTTGTCTTTTACCGAGCCATCGGAATCAACAACCTCAGTCTTTGCAAACACGGTAAAAATATTGGCCAGTCCTCCATTGGTGATCCAGACCTGAGGAGAACAAGAAAGGACTTTGCAGAAAATCAAACTCCTAAGCGACACCCCTCAGCTCTATCTTTGCCCGTCAAACTTCAGGCCAGACATACAAAGTACTTGGTTCTGCAGGAGCCCAGTCTGCACCGAACAGAGGATGGGACTCAACCCAGTGTCCCCAGAGCAAGAATATTCCCAAGAGACACAGGGGGCTGGGCCCAGGGGGTGGAGGAGGAGACAGTCACCAGTGCCAGGATAGTACAGGCTTTATTGCCAGATGACTGGGTTTCTTCAAGAAAGAAGGGATTTATTTAATCATTTCACAAGATATGCATCTATCAAAACATCACATTGTACACGTACATTAAATATGTACACTATTTTCTTGGTCAGTTAAGAAATGAGAAATAAAAAAAAAAGAAGGGGGAGGGAGGAAAGGAAAGAGGAAGAGGAGAGGGAAAATTAAAGGGACTGCTCAACAGACTGCAGGGAACTTATCTGCATTTTCAATCAAGCAAAAAAACTGTTAAAAAGAAAGGCAGGAGACAACCAGAGGAATCTGCTGACCAGATAGTAAGAAACTAAGGCATTATCAACTCATTCCATGCAATCATGGTATCATGGCTTTGTTTGTGTGAAAAATAGTCCTGTCTTTTAGAGACAAGTGCTGAAACTATTGTGGACGCAGTCCAGAGGTGGTGGCGCCGATGGAAGGAACATGGCCGCTGTGAGCGAGTGACCGTTGACGCTGGGCGCCAGGCACAGGCAAGCTTCTGAATATGTCTGAAATTCTGGGTAACAAAAAAACCCTCAGAAACAAACACATAAAAGCAGCTCAAGGAGGTAGTTGGTACTACTTAAGGACACTGCCTGGGAGCTAGACACCTTGGTTCCAATCCTGGCTCTGCCACTGAAGGGATGCAGGACCCAGGCAAATCTCTGAACCTGAACAATTCTCTGAACCAGGCAAGTCTTTGAGCCTGTTTCTTCTTCTGAAAAAGAAGAGTGGCATCTACCCAGTGGGTGGAGAGAGATGACGTGTGCGCCCTTTACAACTCCTGGTGTGTGGAAAGCCTCCCTCAGGGGGCTGAAGGCTGGGCAGGGAGGGCATGGCCATACCTTGGAGCCACTGAGGACAAAGTGCTTCCCGTCTGCACTCGGCGTGGCTCTGGTCCGGATGGAGGCTGCATCACTCCCACTGCAGACACAGAAAGATGTGATCAAGGGAGAATAACACTGTGAACAAACAAGACTGGTTTGGGGGCCTGAAAATGGAGGTGTTTAATACTTCGATTCAGCGGTTGGCAAACTTCTTAAATAAAGGGTCAGATAGTAAATATATCCAGCTTTCCAAGCTACAGGATGTCTGAGTCACCTTGTAACTCTGCTGCTGAAACATGGAAGCAGTTGTAGACAATCTGTAAAGACATGGGTATGTTCCAATAAAATTTCATTTACAAAAAAGATCAGGGGCCGGATTTGGCTGACCCCTGCTTCAATGCAGCAGGTAAAAAAGTGGCCGTGAAAACAACCTGAGCATGGTTTAAGCATGGAAATGTGTATTCCAAATGGGCTCATCTGAACTGCTGTAGGGATTCGTTCGGGGCACCCTAGGAGAGATGACCGTTCCCAGGCTCCTGGACAATGGGAAGCAGGATGGAGCATGGTCCAAGTGACAGACCTGCTATAAAAAGTTCCAAGTTCTACCCTAGCCCTACTCCATCCTAGCTGTGTGACCTCAGGCTAATCACACAACCTCACCGAACCTTAGTTCCTAATCTGTACGTGGGGATAGTACCACCCACCCCACAAAAAAGGTGCTTTGAAGCCTGAGTGCATTCTTTTTTGTCAAGGTGTGTTATAAACCACAAAATTTATTTAATAGGGGCTGTCAGGTACATTATCTCATTTGTAAGTCTCACTGGAACAGAGAGATAAGGTCAAGGTAAGAGAACCTCCAAGAACAGCTGCTGAGTTGATTCTTTGGCAGATTTCAGGTAAGCTGAAAGATTACTAAGCTGAAATTTGAAAGACTTCAGGTAATAAAAGTCATCTACTCAACAAAAACAACAGCCCTGTCCTAGTGAACCTTCAAAAATGCCACCTGGCACGGGGGCAGACCTGGCTGGCTCCGTAAGGCAGAAGGCTGCAATGTGCTCTCCCGACGCCAGCCTGGGCAAGTACTTGGCCTTCTGCTCCTCACTGCCGGCCAAGATGATCCCCTAAACCAAACACACAGACCAATTTCAGCTGTGGGGGAAAAGAGAGTGTGAGATGCGCTTGTGCAATAGTCTCCTGCTGAGGAAGACATTTACTCCAGACAAGAGAAGACAGCACAAGCTCAGAGTGGGCAGCCTCAGGCAGTACATGGGAGCCAAGCTGCAGAGGGACCACCTTAGGGTACAAGTGCCAGGACAGTAGCCTGCAGAGCTTTGGAGTCAGAGCTGAGATTTTCATCACAGCTGCTCTGTTTCCTGGCCTGGTGGCCTAGAGCAAGGAATGTCCCTTGTCCGAGCCTCCATCTTGTCATCTATGGGCTGGGGACACTCCCACCCACTGGCAGGATGGTCTGGATGTGAAATGTGAAGACACAGGGGGCAAGAGCCACACCTTGCACAAAGAAGATGTGTATCAATGTCAGAGCCATCTGCCCCCTCCTCAGTCAGTGCCAAGGGGATAAGCCTGTCTTTACTAAATGACTGCAGTGAATGCATGTGCTCTCTGGGAGTGGTGCTAAGCATGGCGCTCACTCAGCTCTCTTTGATGTCTGTGTTGAGCAGAAATAAGCCAAGTATTGTCACTAAGAGCTGTGTGACTGTGGACCTACTCTAAGATGCTCCAAGCCCAGTGGGTGAAGAAGGCACGTGCACAAACAGCAGGGGACACGCTCGGGGCCAAGTGACACAGGAGCTCGGGAGGGAGGCTCACTTCCTGCCCGAGGCAAAGGCATCTGACCTGGGCCTTGAAGGATGAGTCAAAGGTGATGGGGATAGGAGGATTCGCAGGGAAGGAATAGCATGACCCCAGGGCCACTGCGTGTGTGGACCAAGTGGAGCCAGCGTGTGCAAGGACTGAGCGCTGTAGGTGTGGCCAGAGTGAGGGAACTGCAGGTGGGACTGCAAGTGCAGCCTGGGCTCGCTCTCTTCCAAGACCCTGAGATAGTGGGTCTGATTCACTTCTCGTAAAAGTGAGCAAACCTCCTGCTTCCATGCCACCGTGTGACTCCAGAAGACCTTCAGAAGGCACCAAACAGAAACAGGAAACACTTGACCTTGAGGCCAATAGCCTGGTGTGCTGCCAGGGTCACAGCGATTGACGCGTCCAGGCCGATGATCTCCCCTAGTCGTGCGTACATGGTGTTGGAGAGGCCCAGGCCGCCTAGGAGAGATGGACCAGCATTAACCCCAGTCCAGCCTCAGATTCCTCCCACTAAGGCAAACAGCCTCATTGTTTTTGTTTTCTTTTTTATTATAAAGTAACACTAGATCACCTTTTAAAAAAAGAAATCACAGTATAGAAAGGTACAAAGAAAACAAAAATCACCCATACTCTTATCAACCAGAGAGAGCATTTTTGGGTGCACCCTTTCAGACTTTTTCTAGGCATACAAGCATATGTAGATATATATTTTTAAGATAAAGATACCTATACACACATTGAATCATTTAGTATGTTGCGAATATCTCCTATGACAGATGTAGATCTCTATAAACTCAACAGCTATAGATTTTCCCATTGCCCAGTAGCTACTGGACTCTAGGACAGGGCTTCTCTGCCTTGGCACTCTTTAACATTTTGGGATGAATCATTCTCTGTGGTGGGGTCTGTCCTGTGCACTGTAGGATGTCTGGCAGCATCCTTGGCCTTTACCCACTACATGACAGTAGCAACCCCACCACTTTGACAACCAAAAATGTCTCCATTGTCAAAGGTTCCCTTGTGGGAATTGATGCTCTAGGAATAAAAAGACAAAAGGATTAAAAAACCAAAAATCCCACTGAACTTATGTATAGCTGAACAAAGAGCAGAGCCGGGCCCTGAACTCAGAGGTATAGGTGCACAGCCCGCCAGCAGAGGGCATCATTCACAGACACAGAAAGAAAAGGCATTCCTGCCTGGCCATGCAGTCCCCTGAGCTTGGTGTAGGGGCCTCAGGGAAGGCCAGGGCTCTGCACCAAGCACCCCCTGTTACCCCCTTTCTACACCCACTCTGACTCTGTTTCTACCAAAACACTTTTGCTTTTACTCCTTTCAAACACTGAGGTCAGTTTTGCCTGTTTAAAAAAAAAAAAAAAAAAAAAAACCCCCCCCCCCCCCCCCCCCAGTATCACTAACATCACGGGGGAGATGGCAATGACGTGAGGGCAGGGGACAGATGGACAGAGACTGCAGGTGGGGGAGGAGCTGCGAGCCAGAGGGAACTGTGCACTGCAGGCCTAAAAAAAAAAAAAAAAAAAAACCCCCCCCCCCCCCCCCCCCCAGTATCACTAACATCACGGGGGAGATGGCAATGACGTGAGGGCAGGGGACAGGTGGACAGAGACTGCAGGTGGGGGAGGAGCTGCGAGCCAGAGGGAACTGTGCACTGCAGGCCCTGGGTGGCAGGCTGGGCACTAGGGGAAGGAGGTGCAGCTTGATCAGCAGAGAGGCCCTGGTTTGCCAGCATGGGGGATTCCAAACAGTCTTCAGCATGCTCCAGACTGAGAAAATTTGGGCGGCATGAACCTAAGGTTAGTGTTGCCTTAATTTCCCAAGGAGGGTTTTTAAAAAAAGGCAACATGACCATTATCATCTCATGAAAGAGAGAGCATTTTCAAATCAGAGTAAGATATAAAGCCAAAATCAGGGACAGAGAGTTGAAGTCTCACACCAGCACCCCCACCACACACACCCCCTGAGCCGACTGCAAGAAATGCAAAAGCAGGAATGAGGCTGTACCTCCATTTCTCCCAGAAACTGCTCAGGGGAACGAGGACTTTCCATCAATCAAGAAGGGATTTTAAAAAAGTGATTTTAAAATGTTATTGAAGGGGAAACATATACTACTCATATTACCAACCTGGCTATGTCTAGCAGCTTTCTTCTGCTATTTCTGTTTTCTCCAAACATTTATTTATTCAACAAGCTGATGACAAACAGATCAGGCCATCCACTGCTCCGGGCCCCACCTGCCTGCTTTCTACACTGTGGCCCACATGTGACAGTGAGAGTGCCCTGCTGCCTGTCAGGTACAAGGAGGGCAAATCTCGGTCTCTCTACCACCTCACATGGGGGCTGCAGATGGCCATTTGTGTAAAGAAGCACAGGAGGCATAACTCCCCCATAGGGGCCTGTGTGGCCGCATCCCACTACTAGAGGTAGCAGCATCAAGAATTATTTCAGGTCTTCTGCAGAGATAGGGAAATTCTTACATGCTTAGAAATGTGGTGGGAGGTTATTTCATGGGATGGATGTTGAGAGATATCATTTAACAGCTTACAACACTGCAAGAAACACACATATAAAATGAGACTCCATCGCTTAAAATATGCCTCAGAATCAAGGAAATCAGGCATCACTAATTTGTCCTTAATTTTCACAGTTTGTCTCAGACTGGACCAGCTGCAGGCGGAACACCGGCAGGAACTCATTCTACAGACTTCAAGGCCACCCCCCTTTGCCAAGGGGATGGTAGGTCCAACTTTAGTCTCTGGAGACAAACCCGGCAGAGAGACAGAACACCAAGAGAAGCTCCTGGTTTCCATGGCTTGCTATGCAAAACCTAACTCATGGCATGGCTGGAAAAATGCCCAAAACACTGAATCTCCAAGAGACCAGCTCACAGCCACAAAATACAGCCAACCCTTAAAGCACTACCAATTGCCATCTCCCCTAAACCTCAAGACCCTGAGTTGATCAAACGTGCAGGCAACACCAGCAGAGGCTCAGAGGACATGCAGGTTAAGAGCTGTGGAGCCTAGAGTCACAATCAAATGTCAAAGTGCCCAAGAGTAAAATAATCAGCGTGCGTGTGTATATGTGCGCAGGCAACACCAGCAGAGGCTCAGAGGACATGCAGGTTAAGAGCTGTGGAGCCTAGAGTCAACAATCAAATGTCAAAGTGCCCAAGAGTAAAATAATCAGCGTGCGTGTGTATATGTGTATACATGACTGTCCAATCCCTGTGAAACATTTTCTACCCCCCCGCTCCCTTCCCCATCTTCTTGCCTGTCCCCATAATCTCTACAGAATTTATTTATTTATTGGTGGCTGGCCAGTAAGAAATCTCTACAGAATTTTTTTTTTATTTGGCAGCTGGCCAGTAAGGAGACCAGAACCCTTGACCTTGCTGTTATCAACACCATGCTCTAACCAAGTGAGCTAACTGGCTGGCCCTCTACAAAATTTAGATGACCAACTCTAGATTAGGCAAAAGAGGCAAGCTGTAGTGACTGGCCAACTCCAATGAGGCAGAATGACACTGGGATCCTGAGGAGGCCTTTCACTGGGAGCTAAATACATCACTGCAATGCTCAAAGAATTATGGGGGCTGTCCAAAGGACAAAGGACCCTGCCGGAAGGTTCCCACTGTCAAATCTCCCACCTCGGTGTGCCCTGTGCCCTCCAGCAGCCAGCCCACCTGCCTTATCCCTTTGTGTGAGGACAAGAAGCCAGACCTGGTAGGCCCTGAAGCCTGAGCTCACCCCATACTGTGGTCCTGCCAACATCAACTGCTCGCTGCTCTAGGAGCAGTTTCTTTGCCCAGGAGACTAAGGGCTTCCCAGGGAGATGACAGCATAGTTGATCTCTGTTGATATCCTCCCCTCAACTGCCCATAGGAACCCGGAGAGCACACACACAGTGCAGTGGTCCTTTTCCATTTCAGGAAAGACAGCTCTTCCTCCCACAGTTCCCTCAGTCAGTTCACACTCCCACCCCATCCCAAACCAGCCACCCCATATTTAGCCCACAATGGATGCCGTCATTCATTCCAGTGGTTTTTCAACTAAACCTTATATATACTGCATTTAAAGTTCACCCTTTTTATGCACAAATATAGAGTGCTTTCTTAAGAGCCAAACCAGGTGGGTGGTTGTTACCTCAACTTACCATATTCTTCTGGAACCTGCATACCAAAAAGCCCCAGGCTCTTCAACTTCTCTAAAGTTTCCTCTGGGATTTTTCCCTCCTGGTCAATTTTTCGAGAGTCCACTGTCAAGAAGAAATATTTTGATTAAACAAAATCTAAACTATGTTTGTATAATATAAGTAAACAGAAAAATTTTTGTATAGTATATAATCCCAGTGTCAGAAATTTTTCAACACTGAAAGTCTACTCATGGTCATTCAGCATTTGTTTGATTTTATGTAATCAGTCCAGCAAGAATTGTATTTTCAAAGAAACCAGTGCTGGGTGGTATTCTGTTTCCTCATCTGGGTACCAGGTACACACATGCTTGTTGTATAAAAAGGCAGCAGATTACACACTGATGAGGTATAAATTTTTCTGTAGGTTCACTAAACTTGATTTTTTAAATTACCAGTGCTTTCCAGAAAATGAAAGCGTATGCATGCAACTCCCAGCACTGCAATGACATGTCAGGCTAGATAGCCACCTCTAGGCGGCATCTGAGCCTAGATCTCTCTCACTTTCAGAAACCATGGCTTTCACCATAGCCCACAGGTTCTGATGACAACTGACACTATGTAACAGCAATTCATTCATTCGCGCCCCACACTCACATGTACTGGAGCAAGAGTCAATGATCACTGACGTCAGGACTGCAATTGTGCACTTCATATGCATCAAGTCAAAATGCTCTTCTGAAGTGCTGCAGAGTAAACGTCATCACTACGACAAACTGTTAAAATCACCGTAACCTGCACTTACGAATGTCTGCAAACACTTATGAATGTCTGTTTTGGGAACTAGGAATTCCCCAAATGCAGTCCAAACCCCTCATTTTAATCTGTTTACATCTTTATTGATGTAATTTGTGTTTCACAACCTGCACATATTTAAAGCGTGTAATTTGTTGAATTCTGACATGTGTTTATCCATGAAAATATCATGACAATCAGTAAGAAAACATTTCCTTTTCTGCCAAAGGTCTCTTGGAGCCCCTAAGTGATCAATCTTTCTATCCACCTCTATCTCTGGGCACCCACAAACCTCCTTTTTATTTAATTTTTTTTAAAAAGATGACCGGTAACGGGATCTTAACCCTTGACTTGGTGTTGTCAGCATCACACTCTCCCAAGAGAGCTAACCGGCCATCCCTATATAGGGATCCGAACCCTTGGCCTTGGTGCCATCAGCACCACACTCTCGCAAGTGAGCCATGGACTGGCCCTAAGTCTCCTTTGTATCTATAGATTAGTTTGTATTTTTAAGTTTTATATAAATGTATTCATGCAGCATGTAGATTTTGGTCTGGCTTCTTTCACCCAGCATGATTTCCAGATTCATCTGTGTCGTTGCACGTATTAAACTCTTCATGAATTTCTGTTGTTCAATATTCTGTCGTATGGGGGCACAAATCTTTATCCAAATTCAATAAATAATATAAACACAGAGTCAAGAAGCTCAAAGAACTCCAAGCAAAAGAAATTTGCAGAAAACTATACTGCATGATAATCAATTTCCCTGAAACCACTTAAGAGCAGCCAGAGATGAAAGAAACACTGTGTGCCGAGGAACAAAGATAAAAAGGCAGCAGACGTCTTGTCACAAACAATGCAAAGTCAGGAGAGAGGAGCAGCCCATTGAAGGGCTGAAAGGAAGATATTGTCCACACAGAATCTTTTTGACGAAATGGACTTTCTCAGACAAGCAGACGGTGGGAATGTTCATCCCCTGTAGAGCTGCACGGCAGCAAATGTGGAATAAGTCTTTCCCACAGACCAGGGATGGCACAAAAAGGAAACCTGGTTCTAACCAAAGAGCGTGGAAATCGTTAATGTCAGCAAGTAAATGGGTGACCGCAAAATCATTGTTCCTGTTTCTACTGTGACTAAATGATAAATCAACAGTCTAAAGAAAAATAATTGCATGATGAGCAAGTTCTGGAAACATCGGTGATGGCCACACAACACACTGAATGGACTCGATGCCATGAATTGTACACTTACCAGGATTATAATGGTAAGTTTTATGTTATGCATATTTTACTACATTAAAGAAAAGAAAAATAACAAGGTACAGCAGGATTTATAATAAATGTAGAAATAAGATAGTACGAAACAGAAGCACACAGGACAGGAAAACAAAAACATTGTAGGTTCTTATCCTATACATGACATGATATAATATTACCTGAAGACAGACTTTGATAAGACATATATTGTAAACTCTAAAACAGCCACTTAAAAACAAAAGAGGTACAACTAATAAGCCAACAAATGAGATAAAATGGAATAATAAAAAATATTCCATTAATATAAAAGAAGGGAAAAAAAGAGAAAAAAGGGAATAAAGGATAGGACAAATAAAACAGCTAGAGGATAGATTTAAACCCAACTAAATCAACAATAATATATATATATATTTTTTTGTCTTTTTCCGTGTCCGGCAATGGATCACAACCCTCAGTGTTGCCCCCGCACCGGACTGGGGACCGGCAACGGAATCGCAACCCTCGGCGTTGCTCCCGCGCCTCGCTCAGCCAGTGAGCGGGAACCGGTCTGCATGTGGGATCCAAACCCTCGGGCGGGAGCGCCGCCGCGCTTCCCAAG